TTTTTCACCACTCACAATGATCCTAACATCAAGAGCTCAGACATGCTCAGACTGTCAGGAAAAAAAAGCACTGAAAGAGGCCAGGGGAGCTTGAGCGTTTGATGGCGCATATAGCATGCTCCTTTGCATCAGGCACTTGCGAATCAACCCTACTTCATTTGCTTCTGGAAGGCAGGGCCACTTGCTCCAGCCTAATTTGTCGGGTTTCCTGTCAGCTGCTCAAGGTTGTGGACATAATGGCAGCCTGCCGCTGCTCATGCTGAGGCGCAACGCCTGAAGAGTGAACTAGGCGGCGAAGTCGATGGGCAGAGACAGATCTCGTTCGTGTCAATACCACCTTACATCACCTTACAATATCTAATCGTGACAGTGAAAACATGTGAAAACCGTATCTGAGAGCCGGCCTACCCGAACTGAAACCACCTGCTGACTTGGATATATAGCAACCCACTTACTATATAATACATTGAAATATGCTTCTGATCCCAGTTCTCGGGTCGATGCACAAGCACGCTATTTACTAGCCAGGTCTCCTCTAACAGGTCTCCTTTGGTAGCTTTGGACTTAAAAAGTGTCAGGTGACCTGGCAGGTCTCGGGTGCTGTGCTTGTTGGTCCTACGACCCCTCACCACACAAACACATGCGCAAGACGATCCAATCGCAAGATGACATTGGGCAGTGCATGTTTTGTGAGCACCTTTTGTCGCATGTTTGGAAAAAAAAAAACCATTATGGCAATATCTAATCCAGATAATTTCGACAATTCTCTCGACTTTTCTGTTCTTGCTTCGGATTTCTCTGAACCGGCCGTGGTTTTCCCAAACACAAAAGCGCCTTCGATTGCGGCACCGCCAGGTCGAAATCAACCAGTCAAGACCTGCAGAGAAGCTGCAGGTGGAGGCGAGCGGGGCCAGGGCGGGTGCGGACGGTTCGGTGCTCGCAGACGGTGTGCAAAGTCGCCTGAGTCGGTCCGGATGGCGCTGTTTCAGTTTGTTTTTTTTTCCAGGTGTTTGAGGTGGCTTTGGTAGGAAGGTTTAAGGTTTTGGGGGATTCAAAGATGGGTATTGAGATGTATTGAGATGCAAGAAGGCTGCAGGGAGAAAATGGGAAGGGGAACGGGATGTGTGAACAAAGAAGATTGGCTGGTCTTACCAAGACTACCTGCTTACATCATCGCTCCGGTTGCAATATTATGCGCCGCAAAATGTTATGAACACGCTTCACCCATCTTCACCCACAGGGGATATTGTCCAAGTGGCCCAATGCAAGCTACCACGAAGTGAATGCGTTTGCAATCCTGCTCTAGGGGTTGAACGGCCATGTGTGTTTTTATGTGTGTGTGTGTTTTTTGTTCTGGTGTGAGATGATCCGTTGGAAGGCCATTATAGGCTTTTCACTCTGATCCAGATCCTGTGTGGAAATGAAGTCTACAACTTTTGGATGAATTTGATTTTTTTGGTTTGGTGACCCTAACACAGGAATTGCAGATCCCGTAGTTCTTGAAGAGATTCACTGACAGGGCGTTTCATGGGTCTTGTTTCTAGCACTTGCTTCACTTGTCCACAAGGTTTTACGCTTCGTGTCCAAAATCAAGAATCAAAATGATCAAAAAAGCAAACAAATGTTTCGTGATGTTCCTGATGTTCCGTCCTGCGACAAATTCTGGCGCGACGTTGAGGACTGGCGCCCAGTGAAGCACGAATACGACATAGAGCTGAACAAAAGAATTTGCCATTTGCTTTGATGAGGGGACGGCGATATCATGAGCAGTGTTTCAATACAGGAATCAAAGACTTAGTGAGCTTCGAAGTTCTGGGCCAGCAACCCCACGCACCCGCTGGATCGCGATCGCATCATGCAATGCTAGGACCGCACAAAAGGTCCTTTGTTGAACCTTTGGCCATCTTTGGCCTGAACACGCTGAAGGGTTCAGGTTGTAAACTTTCATATTCAGCACCGACATTGGCTGCATCAGGAATCCAGAGGCGAAGATAGTGCTGGCGCACTTTCAATATCATGAGTCACGAGTGTATGAAGAAGCTGAGTGTGTTGGTGAGAAAGTTCTATTGGTATCTTCGAGGCTTTCAGCAAATGGATCTATATGGTGCAGGGCTACTGGACGAACAGAGCACAGTGACGGAGATACCGTTGAGTTCTCACACCAGATTCCAAAGGACGATCTTATAGCTGAACTTTCAGCAGTTTGTCTCTCCGTCTCTCCTTCTCTGCTCTCAGATCTCTCAGATCTCTCAGCGCAGTCGGTTCAGACTGATGAAACGAGTTTCGGATACTCCATGAGGTGAGCCCATCTCGTCTAGAGCAGCGCAACTGGCAGAGCAGAGCAGAGCAGAGCAGAATCAGCAGACTCCAGTTCCAGCGATGGGTGGTTTTTT